TTTCCTCTCTTTCACCCCTCCACATCCAGACAAATCCCCAAGTCCTGGTGGTTCTACCTCAGTACCTCTCCTATCCATCTACTTCCTTCCTGCGGCTGCTGCCTGCCCACAACTTTGGCCAGATTACTGCCACTCCTCTTGCTTCCAGCTTCCTCCTCCTCCTCCAACCCTCCAACCCCCCCACCCCCCATCCAGCTGTAGCAAAGCCAATCACGTGACTCCCTGGTTTAAAACCCTTGCCTCCCCATTGCCCTAGAGCTATCGACTAAGTGACTTCCCCGCGTCCCCCTGGCTCCTGGCCGCCCCTCCAGGTTCCTGCTCCCTGCGGCACCTTTCACTGCTCTTCTCTCTCTCACCTCAGGGCCTGGAAGACCACTTTTCCTCTGCCTGGATCACTCTTGTCTCCCTACCTGTGCTCCTCTCCTCCTGTAGCTTTCTGCTGATAAGTCACTTCTTGCAGGCGTTCTCCGAGCCACAGCTGCTGGGTGTTAGGAGCCCCCTTCTGCTCTTGTAGCGCTCAGAGTCCCCCCCCAGCCTGGCCCTTACCTCATTACATTGTCATTGTCTGTTTCACGTCTGCCCCTTCCTCCCCATTAACTGTTAACTTAGAGATGAGGGTGGGTTTTCCAGACACACTGCTTGGAACAGTCACAACGTGGTTTGTGTGATTGGGCCTCTCCGATGGAGTGGGGATATTGTGGGAACTTCGAGGGAGCTGGGTCTCTATAAGTAAGAAGACAGGAAAGTGTTGCCCTAGGAAAATGTGACAGCAGGCTGCCTAAGTGCAGAGGGGAGCAGCTCGGGAGCCCATAAATCTTCCTAATTTGCTGACATGGCTGAGACTCAGCCATGCTTGTGGAAGGAGCACTGGATGAGGAGTCCATATCATGGTGCTCCAGTGGGTCTGAAGGGTGATGTGTCAAGTTGACTTGAATGGGTCCCAGTCCATCCCCTTCCAAATGAGATGCAAAAGACCTGCCCAGCTGATGCCCCCCTGTGGTAAAGCTAGACAGCCAGGGTTCGAAACCTGGCTCTGGCTGACTGTGTGACCTTGCTGGGCAAGTGACATAACCTGTGCTTCCTTATTCTTCTGTAAGATGGGCTCAACAGAACCCATCTGTTAGGCTTGCTGTGTGGCTTAAATAGATATGAAACACTCAAGACATCGAATGGCTCATAATCAGTGCTCTTGATGGATAGTAAATTTCTTCCTACTTGTGAGCAGTAAAATGTGGATGAGTCCTCCTGGTCACCCTCTGTTTAGCTCCTTGGGAGAATCAACATGACCGGGAGGGATTAGAAGGTACAACCATAGCTCCTCCAGGGTGGTTCATCTAAATCCAAATGACAGCTTATGCCACCCCCTGGGCACTGGTCAGCCAGGCACAGTGCTAAGCACTTCTTTATCCATCAGCTCTCAAAACAGAAGCTGTGAATAATTCCATTTTACAGATCAGAAAAAGGAGGCTCAGAGAGGTGGAGGGGATAGGTTTTGAAGGCCATCCTAGCTAAGATTTCCTGGTCATCTTGGGACACTGCTGTGTTGTAGGGAATGCCCACATCTCATCCAATCTTTAAGCTGCAGGGCTCTCCATCAAAGGAAGCTGGGGAGGAGAGGAAAGGAGAAGAGAGGGAGGAATTCCTGGAGGGAGGTGAGAGGCCAAGGAGAGAATGCAGAACTCATGGATGATTTAGATTCGGGGAGACCACAGTGACTAATTCAGCATGGGTGAATTATCTCTTGGCATGTCCATGCCACTCCCTTGTTTACTGAAACTCTTGCCCTTTTGCTTTCTCTTTCTCTTCCACTTCCTAGTGTGTGCTCCCTGCATTCATCTTGAGAAGTGTTGTGGGAAAGGTCAGGAAGAGGAGCGGGATGGTTTTAAGGGCTGGGATGGTTGGAAAGGAGACTTGGAGCCCCTGCAGATGCATGGGAAACACAGGTAGATCAGGAACTTAGGAGATGCTCTGGGTCACTGCTACTCACAGCCTGTAAGCAGGCTTTGTCTGAAAACAGCAGCCCTCAGCATAGTGTTTTTCAGACCGTTTTATCCCATTAATGGGTCACAAAATCAATTTAGTGGAGTGTGACCTGCATTTAAAGAAAATAAAATAGAGTAGAAAATTAAAAGGCACATCACACTTAGTAAGGGTAAGTATTATTTTGTGTCTAGGTGTATACGGAGTCCTGATGTCAAATGTCAGGTCAAAAAATGGAAAAAAAAAAACAATCTTAGGGCAGGGGCCTTGTTATCCATTGGCATGGTTTAGAATTGTGGTTCTGCTACTCACATCAAAAAAAGTTGGATTTAGCTTTATGATGAGGGTGTTAATACCTACCTTGTATTTTGTGAGGATTAAATGAGAAAACACATGTATTTTATCACAGCCTGTGGCCCAGGGTGCATTCTTCAGCAGTGCACTAGAGCCTGGTGTTCTAATTCAGCGCTGTTCAGTGACATCACTGTGGTGGCAGGAAATTGACCATGAGAGTATTTATACACCACTGAAATCAGCAAATGCTACAAATCAGGGGTTTTGGTGTTTTGTTTTGTTTTTTTTTTTCTCTTCTGGGAGATGGTTGTCAAACATTTACCAGTTTATCACTGGTGCTAGTAATTCTTCCTTTAAAAAGCCTGTCCAACTGAGACAGGTGTGGGATTGAGCTGGGCTCAGGAGGGAAAGGATTAGATGAATCTCTGGGTTTGGGGGAGAGTCCCAAGAAGACATTTGTATTCTGTACCCATGGACTGTATGCCATTTATTTAACATTTATCTTTATCGATCACCTACCAATGGACTGTCTTGAACATTAAAGACACTGCTTGAGTTTTAAGAGCCGATAGTAAAACATGAGTGCTAGAAGGCAAATAATCCAACTCCAAATTCTGCTTACAAAGGCCCAGGGAGAGATTTCAGGCTTTTGGTGGTCCACCTCTTGGGACTCTGGAAGAGGGAGTAGAACAGTGGTGCATTTGCATTACCTGAAAAACATTATTTAAACAGAAATGCATTGGCCTTACTTAGTGGTTCAAGTCTTGGCCGCTAAAGCAGGTCTTGTAGGTCCTATCTCTGACATGGTGAAATGAATTTAACACTGCCCACGCCTTCGGGCGGAGTTGTGCCCCTCAATGAGATCTACTATTGCTGGGACTGGCTCCTAGCACGGTTTCTTGCAAACATTAGGCACCGAGTTGGGCAAAAAAGACGCGCAGATGAGCGTGGCCATCTCCCTGCCTTCAGAGGACTTCCAATTTGGCGCGGCCCTGCCTAAAAGTCACCAATCACACAACGTTCCCCTTTGTCAGCCTTTTTTTGAATTATATAATTTCAGAAATAGGTACAGAGAGGGAAGGTGACCTGCCCAAGTGCACACGGCCGTCTGGGCAGAGCTTGGACTAGAAGCCAGGAAAAGGCCTTGTAAGTGGACTGGACAGCTTCGGGGTTTGCAAACAAGCCTGAGTGAGTCCGAAGGGCGGCTTCCCCATCTGGAAAATAGGATGGAGATGTCGCCTTCCTTCACCCACGAAGAGGGATGCCCCAGCAGTGTCCCACGGCGCCTAACCCGGGGTGGGTGTATTTCTGGGCCCCCGGTGTGAAGCTAGGCTGTAACAAGGCCTGCACTTCTGGGGTGCTCTAACACCCCGCTCCGCGCCACCCGGCGGAGAAGGGAAGCCGCTCCGCCACCACGTGACACGCCCGCCGGGGGGCCTGCGCGCAGCCCG